AGCCATGGCAACGCAGCTTAAAGGTTTGGGAGCATTTTATAAAATTTGTAAGGAAGCATGTGGAAAGTCTGTAAGGGAGAGTCTGCCTCTGATTGGCGAGTGACTGCAAGCATCTTAAAAGGGAGCACGTTGTGGTCGATGACCAGGAGCTAGAGTCACCTCTTCGGGCTCATTTGAGCTGCTAACATCAACAGTGGGCTACTTGTGTTGATAACTGGAGCAGTCGTGATGGTGATTCCATTACCCTTAACACGCATTGTGTGTTTGCTGTAATGTCACAAACTCAAATGTTTTATTTTAAGAGGAAGCACGCTGTGGCTAACAATGAAGAGCTACAACCACCTGGTTTACTGACCACCTGACACAGACCCCAGTTTGTGAGACTGACGGGTTGTGTGTCAGGTGCAGCAACTCCGGAGCACCACAGGGGACGGTACTCCCACCGTTCCGTTTTGCTTTACACTTCAGACTTCCACTCAGAGAAATTGTCATCTGCAGAAATATTCAGACGACTCTGCAGTCGTCGGGTGTATCAGGTGGTCAGGAAACTGAGGTGGGGCAACAGTAGCTCAGGAAGTAGAGCCAGGGGTGGACCTTTAAAGCGCCCGAGCGCCAATGGCGCTAAATTTTCTCGTCGGGCGGTAAATACTTGACGACTTACCGCCCGGGTGGCGCCCAAGCCTTATTTGTCATTTACACACCGGCTTTCACCTACATCATGGCCCCGCCCTGTAGGAAGCCGCCGTTTCGCGCGCGTGAACCTGCGCGCCTCTGTGCACGTACTGCACGATTCTAGTTTTAGTCACGTGAACTATAAGTTCACTATTAAAGACGAAGTGGAACCACGCTAGAAACACACAAGCACGCAGGAAGATGCCGCCACCACAGGGATGGGATTTCTTGATGAAATCTCCGGCAAAACGCTTTAAAACTGGTGAGGAGAAGCGAGACAGTTCGAAACGGTATGAAGCAGAGAAGCGTGTGCGTAGGTGGAATGATTCTTGGCGTTCTAAAGAAGACTGGAGACGCAGAGGATGGCCGTGTTCGAGTTGAGCAGCGCCTCGCCTGGAAAGCAGACGGAAGCAGCAGGGGGAGTGGCTGAAAGCCGGCGTTTCACCGGGGACACACCGGCCGCGGAAGCGCCGAGAAGCGAATCGCTCATGAAATTCGGCCGCTGCTCAGTTCAGATCAGGCGCGCCCCAGTCGAGGCGCGCCTCGGCTCAGCTGTAGTTTTCCCTCCATTTCCTCTGCATTTTCTCTCTCTCTCTCTCTCTCTCTCTCTCTCTCTCTCTCTCTCTCTCTCTCTCTCTCTCTCTCTCTCTCTCTCTCTCTCTCTCTCTCTCTCTCTCTCTCTCACTCTCTCACTCTCTCACTCTCTCTCTCTCACTCTCTCTCACTCTCTCTCTCTCTCTCTCTCTGTGTGTGTGTGTGTGTGTGTGTGTGTGTGTGTGTGTGTGTGTGTGTGTGTGTGTGTGTGTGTGTGAGTGAGTGAGTGAGAGAACGAACGAGAGAGAGAGAACGAGAGAGAGAGAACGAGAGAGAGAGAACGAGAACCTATGGTGTGAAACAGTTGTTTCTGCCAGTTGAATCTCTTGGACTTCCCTACACGTGTAGCTCGGGGGTGACGGTGGATGAAGATATTGCGTTAGCATTCACACTTGTTCAATTTTCAATTTTAATTCTGGTGCCTGTTAGCAGCTGAAACACATCCTCACGTGCTTGTGGATATCATATATTGTATATGAAAACATGACTGTAATAATAAGTAAAGGTTAGCAGCTGTAGGTTTAGTGTGCTCAAAGGAAACATGACAAAAGAACACAAAACACATTTCTCTTTATGGCCTATATTGTTGTCATCATCAACGTTACATGATTTACATAAAACATGTGACCAACTAACATTTCATGTTCTACCACCGGATGTTTTGATCAAAATATGAACCAATCAGATCTTAGATCAGGTGAGTGCCAGGCGTTTCACGTCATCATCTAGGTTTTGCAGCCGGTGGAGAGCAACTGCAGCGCCTTGCTCCAAAATCTCCGGCCGCCTTGATCTCACGAGGTTATCGTTGCCTACGTATCATGCATGACGTCAGAGCAAGTCGGCGTCAATTCGGACACAAATCTAACCGGCATGCACTGCTCGCCGATCACCGGTGATCTAATCTGCGCAGAACTGGCTCATCTCGAACACAGCCAATGGCTCGAGTACAGCAAAGCGGAGTTGGTGATGTACTGCGTTGTATGCCGGAAGTATGCGACGACAAAATCGAGTTTTGTTGAGGGAACAAACAAATTCAAACTTGAATACGTTATTATGTTTGTGAATGTGTACAAAATAAAGGTTTATTACATTTAAAACGGTTCAGTTGTTATTTTGACTCGTTTTGGCAGCTGACCAGCGGGGCCGGTAGATTCTTGGCAGGGCCGGTAAATATTCAGAGTTACCGGCCCGGCTGGCCGGTTGGTTTTGAAGTTAATGTCCACCCCTGAGAGCGGCTTGACAATCTTGGCTTTGATCTTGGCTCCCACCAGAGAATGCTGCTGCTGTTCTCTTGGGCAAGACACTTAACCCACCTTGCCTGCTGGTGGTGTCGGAGGGACTGCTTCCATCATTGCGCCCCAGGGCAGCTGTGGCTATATTGTAGCTCATCGTCACGAGTGTGTGGATGGATGAATGACTGATTCTGTTATAAAACACCCTGAGAGGGTTGTAGAACCCTCAGAAAGTGCTATAGAAATACAGGACGTGTATCATATTAAAGTACTGTGGAATATTTTGAAGCTAATTTGCTAGTTAGGTGCTAACATTATCGTCACCGTGGTGACAGGAATTACCCTCGCTATATACGTCATGCACCGGCACAAACACTAACCCTTTATTAAGAGTTGCTCTTCAGTGAACAGACTTTTCACCAAGTCAACAACCAGCATTTATTTGTAGGTTTCCTCATTTTCTGCAAGTTTCAAAGTTCATTAAAAGTTGTAGAATAATCTTAACTTATCCACTGCCGGCCGTAATCTGATCAGAAAGCTCCTGACTGCAGGCGTTTTTGAGCGTTTTTACTGTTGTTTTTTTTTTAAGCGCCATAGAACGGTGTGCTCTATGAACATGTAAACACTAAAACTCACTCCTTAGATCAGGAAGAATCTGTGTGTTTCTAGCTTTGTCCGTTCTTTCATAATCGGTTGTCGAAGTGTGAGCTGCAGAAGCGTTTCTGGTTTGCTTCTCGCTTTAGGCATGGCGGCAGCCCAAAACAGTCACTGACACAGATAAAAATCAACTTAAGAATGATCTCACCTGCTCGCCGCACTGCTCCCAGTCAGCTTCTCAATGTAAAACTAAAAAGTTGTTTGTTTTTTGAATCGGAGACAAAAACAAACCCTAAAAACAGATCGCAGGGCTGTTCGGTAAAAAATGATTGGGCAGCACCTCAAGAAGTAGAGCAGAATGTCCAGTAAAGGAGGGTTGTAGGATCGATCCCAGCTCCCGGCACAGAATTCTGCTGTTGTGTCCTTGGGCAAGGCACTTCACCCACGTTGCCTGCCGGTGGTCGTGTTAGGGACTGGAGGCTCCATGTGCTGAGCAGTCTCTCCTCTGTCAGTGCGCCCTAGGGCAGCTGTGGCTATGATGTAGCTCATCACCACCGGTGTGTGAATGTGTGTGTGATGCCCTGTAGTGAACGTAGGGTTGGGCATCGAGCATCGTTTGGAACCGGTTCCAACTGGTAGTTTTTCCCGGAATCGTTCAAAGTTTTTTTTTTCCATTCCTAGAGTGCCGACCGGAAGAGGAATCCGCGTCCGATCTCCGTGAAAAATCAACGTGATCTGCAAATTGTGATCAACGTTTTTCAGAGCTGATCACACCAGCTGTCTGTGTGCAGCACCGAGCCCCCCCTCCCCCCACCCAGATATAAACAAACGCATCTGCTGAACTTTTACTCCGTGATGTAAACTTTAGCTCCTGCGGCGTAGAGGAAACGTGTTAAATACGTCAAGACGGTGGATTTAATAGAAGCTTTAAAGAACAAACTCTGGACGGTGTGAGGTGAGTTTGTCTCACTGCAGAAATAAAAACACACGGAGCATCAGCAGTCAGGCGCAGCCGCTCACCAACACTTGTGTGTGTGTGTGTGTGTGTGTGTGTGTGTGTGTGTGTGTGTGTGTGTGTGTGTGTGTGTGTGTGTGTGTGTGTGCGTGTGTGCGTGTGTGTGTGCGTGCGTGTGTGTGTGTGTGTGTGTGTGTCAGAAGGCTGAACAATAACCTGTAGAATAATTAAAGTCATCATGCTAGAGCAGCTTCTCTGTTGTGGACCACACCAGCTTCTGCCACAATAAATAATAATATTAATAATAATAATAATAATAATAAATCACACACAAAGTTGTGAACATTTTAATTTCCTTTCTGAACTATTTCTGTTGAGAGTTTTAATGTTTAAAATCTGTTAGATTGTTACTGACAGCAGCTACGTTTAAGTTTCACTTCCTGTTCTGACTGAATGCTGCTGCAGCATGGAGGTGTAGTTCTCAGTCATCCTGGACATGATCATCCTGAGAGTTTTAGCTGAAAACAGCTGCATGTTTCTGGATATGTTGGAGACATTTAGCCTCTCATCCCAGAGGCTTCTTCCAGACTTTGGTTGTGGTCAGAAACAAACACACTGGTTGTGCTGCAAGTCTTTTTTCTCCAAAACATGTTTTTGTCTAAATGAAGGTGAAGTTATTGTTCATAGAATTAAAATTCATGTTGAAGTTAAGATTATTTCATCAAGTAGGACCTGTGGTTAGCTAGCTCATGTAAAACACGTCATGTCTTCAGAAGAATCGGAATCAATGGGAACCGGAATCGAAACGAGGAATTGGAATGGGAATCTTTAAAAATCAAACGATGCTCAACCCTACAAGTGTGGGTCATTTAACATCTAAAACTAGTTTCTGCTTGTCCTACCAAGGCTTTTGCTGCTTGATGGTGGATCTCTACTTGTTTTTGTTTCAGGGCCAAGTTATTCTCCACAAGAAACTTCTAACAACCACAGCTCCCTCCATAGCTCCAACTCACATTCTAACCCCAGCAAGGCCTCTGACACGGTAAGCATGGCCTCCTACTTCTTACAGTAGAGAAGGCTGCCTGCTTTCCCAGTACATGTTTTACTTCCTGATTTCTACCTACATCCTGAGACATGACCTCTGACACCTTCCTTCACACATAAGCTTTGTCTAAAAGCAGCCCAGCCAGAGCCCCCAGCTTTCTGCACATTTCAGATGAGATTACAGCCTCTTGCATCAGACACTTAAACCACACACACACACACACACACACACACACACACACACACACACACACACACACACACACACACACACACACTCTTCATTTGTGCTTGGCTAGCCGTACATTCTGAAATATGTCTTTCTTGACTCAGCCTTACGAACCTGGCGATGACTGGTCAGAGCACATCAGTTCCTCGGGAAAGAAGTACTACTACAACTGCCGGACAGAGGTGTCCCAGTGGGAGAAGCCAAAGGAATGGCTGGAGAGGTAACGTTCATTCTAACAGCCATAGGTTGTACTTTTAGTTTCACAAATGTAGCATTTAGTCATAATTTACAATGCTTCTGTTTGGACTTCACAGAGAACAGAAGCAAAAGGAGGCAACCAAGGCTGCTGTTGTCAACAGTTTCCCCAAGGACAGGGACTACAGAAGGGAGGCTATGCAGTCTACAGCGGTGACTGGCTTTGCTGGTCCTAGTAAGTGTGACAGGTTTCTCTATGGCAGTGGTTCCCAAACTTATTTAGCCGCGCACCCCCTTCTATGTCCCGACCATGTCGACGCCCCCCCACATCGGGGCATGGCTCTATATATATATATATATATATATATATATATATATATCTATATCAGATGTCAAGCTAAACAGACAGGTTAAAAAAAAATCCCCATCACTTTCATTTTTAAATAGTAATTAATAAACATTCGATACCATTACAATTTCCTTTGATTTAATTTTAAATAAATATTTAGAGTGCCCAGGTAGCACATAAACAATGCAATTTAACGGTTTTCTTAAAGTAGGAACGTTTAACCTGTGCGGCCAGAGCGCTCTCCTTCCTTCTGCTCTGCGTAAACCTGAGCTGATCACCTACTTGTGCGTAATCAAATGTCAATAGGGGACAAGATATAGCCATGATGTTCACTTTTACCTCAGACCGACTTATTGCTGTTTTATGGTGTGGCTGAATCTGCGATCCGCTGCCACGCTGACTGGAATAACAAATGCTGCAGTAACATGAGATGTGGTCAGGTTCATGAGGAGTCACTGGCTGGAGCGGACCCGACTCATCCCAGAAGCTAATATCTTAATTTGACCTTGAATGAAAAATAAAAGTTGTTATCACGGTGGAGGCAGCGTTCATTTCTGCCTTCAGTCTGACGGCGCGCCGGAGTTAAAGCAGCGTGTGCGCTTATTGAATCTGTGTGTGTGCGCGCGGCACAGCCGCTCAAGTCACCGCGTCTCGTTATTGGCGCTATTTAAACCAATGTTGTAAAATGACTTCTGCCCAGCCCAGATGTGCTCACTTGTGCACCCGTGAGCCGTGGTTCAGCCGGAACGCGTCTGACCTCTGACAGACGCACTCTGATCTTCAGATCTTCAGCGCGCTGTTAATAGCCTGAATGGGAATCATTTCTTGTTATTTAGTTACATCCACAATGTTCTGTGTGTGAGGTTTACAACATCAGAACACCTGCATGAGACAGGGTGTTCATTACAATCTGCCAGAATGACTCGCCACCTTCAGATTTCTCCAACACCGTTAAAAATGATCAAATACGGAACATATCGGCGTGCGCAGGCCAGAGTGCTGAAGCTCAGCGCATTATTATTATGAAGCTATGGCACATGTGGAGGACACGCGCAAAAATATACTTGTTTTCAATTACATTTATTGGGCCCACTTACATTTTCTTTGGCCCACCCACAAATGAGTTTCTACGCTAATGGTGACATATGACAGACTTCTCTGAGCTCCGCAGCCATTACACTTTTCACCTCGCGCACCCCACACTTTGGGAATCCCTGCTCTATGGCTACATTCACACTGCAGGCAAAAGCACATCAAATCCCATTTTATTCCCCACATGTGACCCATATCTGGCGTTTTTATGGCAGACTGAAGGGCACAGATCAGATTTTTTATGTCTGATCCAGGTCACTTTCATATGCGGTACCGATTCTGATACATATCTGATGTTTTTGAAAGCGACTACAGTCTGAACGGTCATGTCACATTAAATCCGTCTCTGAGTCAATGGAGGTGAGCGTTGTGTGTGGACGTTACTGAGGAGAAGAGCTGACTGCAGGGTTCAGGAGTCTGTCTGGACATCCTGTTTTAGGTTTAGGAATAGAGCTGCACTAAAATTATCGTCATCGGGATAACAGGACGTGTGATAGGCCCATCGCAAAGCACGTCAAAAACGGCGATAAATGTTTGGCTCAAACATGTCCATCCGTGTCATACATCAACTTTTTGTAAACCAGCTCTGTTTTTTACAAGGAAGTATTATTTGACCAATCAAATGTAGCCCTTCTGATATGCGGCCAATCAGATGGGTCCGTTCAGGTAAAATGCCCACCCCCTACGTAGACCCTTAGGATGGGTGGAACGCAACACCCGAACTGAGTTAGCAGCACCGTTCCCTTGTCCGTCATGCTGGCTCAGATTAACGAACGCACTTTGTGCTGAGGTTTCTGGAATCAGCGCTGCTTTCAAACGTAAACGTGACTCCGCTCGGTGTCGTTAAGCAGCTGATAATAACCGGGCTGACTCCGACGCGTGCCGTGAACCAACCCACCTTCATGTTGCTAGTGTTCCACCGGGTGGTGATGTTAGCCCCAGGCTCCGGTTAGCTTCCAGCTAAAAGGCTACAGCACTCTCCTCCCAGTCCCACCCTGCTAAAGAGGGCCTGGAAAAGTTCCCCCACACATCAAAGTGATTTTTCATTTATGAGCTTTTATAACCTCGTTAATCAGGATAGTTGATTTGCTGCTGCACATAAACTGTCAGTCAAAAGCTCTGCTAGCCGGTTATCCAAAGCCCCCTTCAGACAGGCCATGAAAAACGGAAATGTTCCGGAATCTGTCCGTAAGACCTTTCTGTCTGAATACAAACATCCGGATAACGTGTTCCGGAATTTATCCGGACGAAGCCCCTAGTAACAGGTCCGGACTTGTTACGGACAGGGTGGCTGCTTCAGACTGGTGAGGTAAAGTTCCGGACAAGAGGGAGGAGGAGGGGACCGGGGGACGCTGTGCGCACCTATATAGCCCGCTGCTGTAGCATGCGGCGAACCACGGCAGCTCGCCTCCTACTGTACCGTCTAGAGGCGCGACGGAGCGCTTCACACCGCTTCACACCGCTTCAGTGATTCCTTTAACCATTGAGCTTCATCATCCAGGTCTCTTATGCGTCTTCGTGTGCGCAGAATTATGCTTAAGCGCCTCGTGATTTTTATCTTGAGAGGCGCTATAGAAACGATATTTTCTTCTTCTTCTTCTTAACATAAATCCGATTCCCCCCCACCCCCCGCCGCCGTCAGACATCTGGAACTTTTCCCTGCTGTGTGAACGCAGCCGAAAGGACAAGTTCCGGTACAAAAGTGGTGTGTCTGAAAACACAGTTCCGGTTAAAAACCGGATTGAATTGTCTGCAAATTTTCCAGAATGTCTGTCTGAAAAGGGCTCTAGAGGAGCTAGTTCAATTTGTTAGCTTGTTACCAGAATCATAGTTGCAGTTTCATCATCTGAGCTGCTTTTTAAGATCTAGGTAAACTTGTTCAATTTGGGGTTAAAAACAAACGTTTTCACATATTTTCCATGTAGTTTTTTGCCAGTTCCTCTTCTGAAAGGTAGACAATTGTTTTTCTCTTTCCCTCAGAAAATCTTAATATTCTCCTAGTTTGGCCCAGCACAGTTCACTTCCCAATTGCAGCAACAGCTTATATCATAACCACATAAGTGGAGACAATGTTCAGTAGCAATGAGAGAATTTGCTGTTGCATTTAAGTGACGTTAACTATGATTTAACATTTAAACTTATTTTCTGATTATTTATTTATTTATTTATTCTAAAACCCTGGTAAGGGATGTTTTTCTGTATTTGGAGCATCAGAAAAAGTTTTATGGTGGAGGTGATGTTTTAAAGTCACTGAGAAACTGCATGCATGCAGTTTGTTGTTTTGCTGCTAATACAGTAGCAGGTGCAGCTGCATATTTTTGCAATAAAAATGTTATGTTGTAATGGAATTCATGCATTAGTTTTTGTTTGCTTTGAACCCAGAGCAGACATCACACAGCAGACGACATCAACACTGCATACTTTAGTATTTGTTCATTTATCGCGAGTAATATCGATATCGCAATATTAAGCACTGTTATCGGATATCGCAGGTTTTCCTAATATCGTGCAGCCCTATTTAGGAATTAAATATACAAGAAAGCATGAGAACGGGAGAGGGAGGTGCTGCTGGAGTGAAGCGTCTCACCGGTCTCCGTGAATTTATTAGCAGAACATTTTTCAGTGAAAAATAATTTGGGAAGACGGCGGGAACTAGGAGAAAAACAGTGTACAGTTGTTAAAACAGTTTCCAGCCCAAAACGGGAGACTAATCAGGATGTGCACGTATCCTCTTCAGCTCAGAAAAAACCTTCAGAGACATCTGATCACACACAAGCAGGTGACCCGTTAACCTGGTCTCCATGAGACCGGGTTGGACCTGTTCAGGTTAACGCGGAGCAGAAGGACGAAGTGTGTTCGGGCAACGGGTGAAATGTTCCTACTGAGTGAAATTATTTAATTATAATGTTCTGGACACACTGGTCAGGTTGTTTAGGCCGGTGCTTGAAGTGCAAAACACACACACACTGCGTTATGATGCAGGTATGGGCTTCTGGCTGTAGCTCTTAGGTCCTGGTTTTCTCCTTGTGCGTCTCTGGAGCTCTGGCAGTTGGCTCACTTCTCTGTGCTGCCTTGATTTTGGCCTCCAACCTTCTTTTCCATGGTGGGTGTTGTTGCTCATGGTTGACCATGCTCTTATAGCCAAGCATCTCAAGGATGTTGTGTCTCGTCAAACTCGAGGTGTGATAGCAGTTGCTGTTTGTGGATGTTGGAAGACTGAGCTACTAGTTGTTTGGCGGTTACCCCTTGTTCACGTCAGACGTGGAGGCGATGTGGAACGAAGAGCGCTTCTACTCAGCGACTCTGTTAACCTATGGTCTCGTTCAGATCAGCTGCGAAGCGCCGCGAAGGCTCGCGCCGTGCAGGGGTCGTTTTGGTGTGTGCTCTATTTATTTTTTAATTTTTTTGCAAGCCTTGATGGAGCTGCAGGAAGTCGATCCAAATCAGAAGAGGCAGGCCAGTAAATTTCACAAATGAAAGAAACTTTTCAAACTAAAACACCGCAGTTGATAAATGTGATCATTTTTTTGTATCTAAACAGACTAGAGCGATGAAAATGAACAAACACGCACACTCCTGTGGAGAAATAGCGTTTCCTTCATTTTAAATGCAGATTTGAAGGCAAAAGATGTATTTAATAAATGTGATTACAAACAAATACATTTAATTCAAAGGTAAATATTAGGAGTGGTACTTGATTAAGACATTAATCTACTTGATTAGAGGCTTTGTAATTGATCTAAATGAATCACATTTTAATCGTACAGGAAGATGTGCCCTAACGCCTAACTTATGATGCAGAGAATCAAACATTAGACATGGATAGTATTACTGTAAACTCAGGCTCTTAATTTCTACATAGATACATTTTAATTATTTAGCCATCACTGTGTGTTATGAAACTAGACCCAGATCATCTAAAAGTTATAATTACAAGTATTCGCCTGCAAAATGTTCCTGAGCCTTTAAACCAAGGCTATTCAATTCCGGCCCTCCAGGTCCAGTATCCAGCACGCTTGAACCACCTGTGCAGCAGCTCATCAGGCTCTGCAGAAGCCCGTTTATCACCTGGTGATTGAAACCAGGTGTGTTGAAACAGAGTTGAATCTAAAACGTGCTGGACACCGGACCTCGAGGACTGGAAATAAATACCCCTGCTTTAAATGGTGTCTCAGTCTAGTTGAGTTACTGAAGTAACTTTTTCACCAGTTTGTGTAGTTGGGTGTTTTTGTTAACATTATGGGTCGGGGTAACCCTTAGCATAATGTAGTAAAAGCATATTTATGAATAAAAACCATTAAAACTGATCAAGGACTTAAACTGAGTAACTCGACACCAGAGAACGCTTGACTTATCCTGGGACCTATGGTGTTTCAGTGGGACTAAAAGGATCAGGAACACTAACTGGTTCCAGTTGGATGACTGGAGGATGATGGGAAGATAAAAGATCATGACGAGGAAATAATGATCTGATGCCTGAGCGGTCAACAGGTGAGCGGACCTTCCTTACATGGGAAGTCCCGCTGTCACATGAAGATGGTGGTGGCTGCAGACCCACAGGTTTCCGCCTGGTGTGATTTCCAGCTTGATCACAACATTCTCGTTCCTCGCTGGCCCTGATGCGCTTGGAGGTAGACCTCCGCACCTTTAGCTCCTGATCAGCTGATGACTGCTTCGACACACCTCACTGCTGAATTATACTAACTCATAAAAACAATTAAAGCTGTTAATATTTCCTCCCATTATTATCCTTTTTTTTGTTTGTGAAGCAACTTGTGCTTGTGATTTTTATCTAGAGGAGCTTTATAAAAACATGTTCTACTCCAAAAATGCATGGAGGAAATCTGTAGGTAGAAATAGCTTTTAAATGTATTAAATAAAAATGCACACAGTTTTCCCTGCACTACCAAGGCAGGCTGGCTGCACGTTTTTCGAAGCCGTCTGATAGTTTTTCCTCACTAAACTGTCAGCTCCGTGAGAGAGACGCACGCATTCTGACACCTTAGCTTGTTTGGACTAACGTGTGCCGTCAGAAACGTTCAAACCACTTTTAAAAGAGAAGTTGAGCTTTCAAGTCAACTAAAGTGCGCGACTCCGCACTCGCGCTGATGAAGCACGAACCAAGCTTTAGAAATCAGCCTGAACCTGCTCATATGTGGGAGGAGTCTCTCTCTCTGTCCCGGGCTCACCTACGGTGCCATTATTATCGGCTCTAGCAGCGCTGTGTGTGGGGACATAAAACAGGGAAAATAACCTGAACATGCAGCTCTGTCAGCTGTGGAGTTGGGCTCGGCTCTGGACGGTACACCCCACCCCCCTCCCCCGCGCTGGCTTGTGCCGCCGTCATAACACGGGGGACAACCCCAGATGGGGAAAAAAGTTACACAACTGATCCTGGATCAGTTAAAACCACAGCTTTGATGGTCAGGTGATCGTGCTGTTTGAATTCGCAGTTTCGGTCCAAGAACGATAGATCGTTCAGCCCTATCAGAGACGATCTCTGAAAAATGTCCACATCATGTACTCTGTAGTTTTCAGGAAGTTTAGTTTTATTTTTACACGTTAAGAGACGAGGCTGACATGTTTTCCCAAATACTTCAGTAGTCCATGCAATTCAATTCCTTTAAATTATTCCCATTTAGTAGCCGTTAGCAGAGCACTGTGCATCGTTGTGTGCGTCAGTGATATTCGGCCTACCAGGAAATCAATGACAAAGGTTCCTCCTTGTTTAAATGCAAGCTCTGATTAAATGTGTGATTTTTTTTCAACACTTCATTTTTTCTAATTAATTAATCATAATTAACGTGCCCCCCCCCCCCCCATTTAGAAAGGAATTGGTCTACAAAACAGCAGCAGGATCGGTGCAGTTTTCTATCTCAACAAACAGGGCAAACTGGTTACACACACACACACACACACACACACACACATACACACACACACACACACACACACACACACACACACAATCTTTTATTTCTATCCATATTAGGACTTTGTATTTACTTCCATTCATTTTAGTAACTGCATTTATGCCTAACCCAAACCCTAACCAGTGTATTCCTAAACTTAACTGTAACAAAAACTTAATTCACATCTTATGTGTAAACCTCACCCCTAAGCCTAAAACTGGGAGTCCACCATATTAGGACTGGATTTTGGTCCTAACACGAACCATCGGTCTTCAGTAGATTAGTGAATATGCCATTTCTGGTCCTAAGTAGGATAGCTGTACAATTACACACACACAAACAGCAAGGGCACGGGGGTGGGGTTAGTTAATGTGAGTAGAAGCGCTAGTCAAATTCTCGCCTGATGTGAACAGAGGGGCAGTGCGCAAAGTTCATGAGCGATCCGCTTTGCGGCGCTTCGCAGCTGTAACCGTGTGTGTGTGTGTGTGTGTGTGTGTGTGTGTGTGTGTGTGTGTGTGTGTGTGTGTGTGTGTGTGTGTGTGTGTGTGTGTGTGTGTGTGTGTGTGTGTGTGAGTGAGTGTGAGAGAGAGAGATTAAAAGAAACGTGGTTCTCTGAAGCCGGAAGCGTTTCCATGGTGCATTGCTGTGGTGACGTTCCGTCCACTCCACTGTCTTGCAGGCTAGACGCCACAGATCTCCGATGGCTTCTCTGGGATGTTAGCTTCGTAAGTTGTTTACGTGATTGTGATTGCTGGTCAGTTAACAGAGCTTAATTTGAGCCTGTCTTATTTTGAAACAACGTGTTCTGGTAACTGTCTGCTAGGATCCGGCAACTCAATTGTTAAGCTAACTTTTTAGCTAACAAGCCTTTAGTTTAGCGGCAATGTTGGAAGTACAGAACAAGACAATCAAAGTCAGAAGTGGCCTCATGCAATTTAGAATTTCGTTATTTCGTTGGATGACCTTTTTAAAACATTTGCTGTGCTGCTGCGGGATTCTGAGCGGGTTCAGTTCGGTGCGCTGTCTCTGCATCCCAAAATGTCCCTGCTGCACTGAAGAAGCACAGCCTCAGTGAGTACAACCTGGTGTGTGTGTGTGTGTGTGTTGTCCGAACTGAGTTTAGTAACTACATCAATCAATCGATGACCATTAAATTAGGGTAACCATATGTCTTCTTTTCCCTGCGCGCCATGCTAAAGACGTGACCCCCAGATGCGTTTTCTGTTCTGAGGTGACTTATAATTTTTTTTCTCCCCGACCTCTTCCTTGGTGGTCCAACTGGGACCAAGGTGACGCTACGAACTAACTGGCTGGCTAAAATTCACACCTACTGCCTCTGACTGGCTAATAGAAACTGCCAGTGGGGGCTTTCTGCATTCATTATCGTTTTGGATGCTGTGGAGTAAACGTCCCCCTGTCTGCAGTGTGGTGACAAACTGCTGCTCAGTGGGAAGAGAGATGAGAAAGGAGATTGCCGTGAGCACCACAGCTCACCATCGCTTTTGTTTACTTTTCACTTCGGCCACGGCAGCAGTGGAGGATAGTGTTATGAGGACACGCACAGCAGTATCAGTGAGAGAACAGGAAACAAAGCAGTAACATAATCTTGTTCAGAGTCACCAAAAGCAGCACATCTCATGCCCGCCTTTGTTTATGAGCCTGAACCGACGCCACACAACCCCAGTACCGACCCAAATTTGAAAGTGTCTCGGGAGAGATTTAACGTTCCCCATAATGATCGAGGGTACAGATGGTTTATACAATCTTCTCCACTCTCGACATTTAACTCCCAACTCTTCATCCACGTCTTTTCTGCCGTAGCTTCCTTGGGATCTGTAGCTGTGACACCTTTTAATCTGAAATGAATTGAGATCATTGATCTTTTAGTTATGTTTATAACAAACGTTTGCTTAAATGTAAGACTTGTTTCTGTTGTGCGTTAACAGAGTCAATCCAGACAGAGAAATCCCCAGCAGCTCTTGGTACCCAGTCCCAATCATCTTCCTCGGGTTCAGGGGGCTTGAATCCATCGTCGGTACCACCTGGATCATCAGCTTCCACTGTGCCTGTCTCTCCAGTCCTTCAGACCCCAACTACCCCTCTTCTTCAGGACCCCACTCTGCTTCGCCAGCTTCTCCCAGCACTGCAGACGGCTTTGCAGCTCAACAATGCCAGTGTGGATATGGCAAAAATCAATGAAGGTACGAGTGGGAAGTTGCACCCAGTTTGTGAAAGTTGTTCAGAATCAGATAGCTTTTGTTGTCACTGCCCAGAACCAGCAGTTTATATATGTTATGATTTTGTTGAATGCAGAACTGAAGTCAACAACGAGCATCCTCCATAGCTCTTTGAGTTTTCCAAGTGTCTCAGGGCAGTGTGGACAATGATGGCTAACGTGTCCCCAGTGGACCTGTTGGTTCTATAGGTGAACTGTTAAGGGCAGGTGGCTGGCTGTGGAGAAGGGCCGGGCTCTTAAAGCACTTCATTTCTGAAGTCCTGCAAGCCAGTTGGCTGTATTTTGGGACTGGGATGATGATGACAGATTCCAGACAGAGAGGAACATCTACTTAAGCCAGAGAGGAGTTGAAGATAATGGTGAATACTCCAGTTAACATGTCAGCACAGGACTTGAGCACAATGCTGGTACAACATCTGGTCCAGTGGCCTTTTTTTGTTGTTACTGAACTGGTGCTGAACACATGGTCCACTACTTGCCACACCCTCTGTGGATTGTGGTTTATTAGATCAGAGGTTCTTAACCTTTTTGACCATGGGACTAGGGCTGCAACTAACGATTATTTTCATAATCAATTAATCTGTTGATTATTTTTTTCAATTAATCGATTAATCGGTTTGATATTGTTTAGCTATTTAACCTATACAAGTGATGAATACATTTCAGTTAAGAAAAAGAAAAACATGAGAGAATTGTGCAGTTGACTGCAATCTATTTTATTGCACATGAACACAGTCAGCGGTGTAAAATGAGCTAAACAGTGCAAAATATCAGTCCAGAATAATTTTTTGGCATCAAACTATAAGAGGTAAATTCCATAAAAAATAATGTAGAATCTAGAATAGAGTTTGTAAGTGGTATGCATTGCTGGAGGGTGAGTGTCTTGTTCCCCATGTAGTTGTCCATCGTTGCTTGTTTTTTTTCTGCATAAGAAACACAAATTGACTGAAATAAGTACACATATAAAATAAAGCAGCACACACTACAACACTAAATCAATATTATATTATTTGAATTAATTAACAATATACAGTGATCATTTATTTTGACAAAAATGTGTTGTGAGGCGTTTTACAGCGTTAGATAGTAAAACAGCTTTTTAATAGTAAAAAAATTACTTTCTGAATTACTCCTGTATTTAAAAATTGAAAGCGTACAACTATGCAGCGTTATATTCACCTGGACACAGCTTGTCTGTATATTTTTCTCCGCGGAGTTGTCCTTTTTTGAATGAGGAACATAGTTATGGGTTTGTGCCGTTTTTCTCTTAATGAGAACATTCTTACAGTGGGGCAAAAAAGTATTTAGTCAGCCACTGATTGTGCAAGTTCTCCCACTTAAAATGATGACAGAGGTCAGTAATTTACATCATAGGTACACTTCAACTGTGAGAGACAGAATTTGAAAAAAAATCCATGAATTCACATGGCAGGATTTTTAAAGAATTTATTTGTAAATCAGGGTGGAAAATAAGTATTTGGTCACTTCAAACAAGGAAAATCTCTGGCTCTCACAGACCTGTAACGTCTTCTTTAAGAAGCTTTTCCGTCCTCCACTCGTTACCTGTATTAATGGCACCTGTTTGAACTCATTATCTGTATAAAGGACACCTGTCCACAGCCTCAAACAGTCAGACTCCAAACTCCACTATGGCCAAGACCAAAGAGCTTTCGAAGGACACCAGGAAAAGAATTGTAGACCTGCACCAGACTGGGAAGAGTGAATCTACAATAGGCAAGCAGCTTGGTGTGAAAAAATCAACTGTGGGAGCAATTATCAGAAAATGGAAGACATACAAGACCACTGATAATCTCCCTCGATCTGGGGCTCCACGCAATATCTCATCCCGTGGGGTCAAAATGATCATGAGAACAGTGAGCAAGAATCCCAGAACCACACGGGGGGACCTGGTGAATGACCTGCAGAGAGCTGGGACCACAGTACAAAGGTCACCATCAGTAACACACTACAATGGCAGGGAATCAAATCCTGCAGTGCCAGACGTGTTCCACTGCTGAAGCCAGTGTATGTCCAGGCCCGTCTGAAGTTTGCCAGAGAGCACATGGATGATACAGCAGAGGATTGGCAGAAGGTCATGTGGTCAGATGAAACCAAAGTAGAACTTTTTGGTATAAACTCAACTCGTCGTGTTTGGAGGAAGAAGAATACTGAGTTGCATCCCAAGAACACCATACCTACTGTGAAGCATGGGGGTGGGAACATCATGCTTTGGGGCTGTTTTTCTGCTAAGGGGACAGGATGACTGATCCGTGTTAAGGACAGAATGAATGGGGCCATGTATCGTGAGATTCTGAGCCAAAACCTCCTTCCATCAGTGAGAGCTTTGAAGATGAAACGTGGCTGGGTCTTCCAACACGACAATGATCCCAAACACACCGCCCGGGCAACAAAGGAGTGGCTCCGTAAAAAGCATTTGAAAGTCCTGGAGCGGCCTAGCCAGTCTCCAGACCTCAACCCCATAGAAAATCTGTGGAGGGAGTTGAAAGTCTGTGTTGCTCGGCGACAGCCCTAAAACATCACTGCTCTTGAGAAGATCTGCATGAAGGAATGGGCCAAAATACCAGCTACTGTGTGTGCAAACCTGGTAAGGACCTATAGTAATCGTTTGACCTCTGTTATTGCCAACAAAGGTTATGTTACAAAGTATTGAGTTGAAATTTTGTTATTGACCAAATACTTATTTTCCACCCTGATTTACAAATAAATTCTTTAAAAATCCTGCCATGTGAATTCATGGATGTTTTTTCACATTCTGTCTCTCACAGTTGAAGTGTACCTATGATGAAAATACTGACCTCTGTCATCATTTTAAGTGGGAGAACTTGCACAATCGGTGGCTGACTAAATACTTTTTTGCCCCACTGTATAAACAGACGTGCTAAATTTGGCAAGCGCATGATACACAACACAGAGATTCACGATTGCATCTAGTCAATCAGAAGTAGAACACCGTAGACTGACGCGGCAAAAAAACATGTTTAACATTCACTTTAACGAACTCAGCTAAAACACTAAGTCCCAAATTTGATCTGCGTGTAGTGATGGACCACTATATTTAGCTTGTTTATTTTCTGTTACTTACCGGGCTGGCTCATCCTCTGCTGCATCAGCCCCCACATGTTTTCGTCTCAAATGTTCACTTAGGGACGTCGTGCTTCCGTGCCATGCTAGATGGTTTTTGCATATTTTGCAGGTCACCCGTCTTTTCATGGCATCTAGAGTGAAGTGCTCCCATACTCGTGAGGTTTTTGTCCGGGGTTTCTCTTCACTTTTGTCGCTTCTATTTTTCTTCCGTATTTCTTCTTGTTCCGCCATCTCTCACAGCAAGATGAGCGTCAGTAACATGATACGTCATGAAAACCGAGGGCACTTATTGGCTCGTTTCTTCTTCTACGGCTCCACTGGTAGATCAGTGGCTCATTACTGCCACACACTGGCAGCAAATTTAACAGATTGTAACCGATGTCAGATTGTGGTAAAAATAGACACTTTATGCGGTAAAATGTGATTATTAAACAACTAA